ATAGAATGTTCATAATCCAGTCCGAAGATTATTATTGATTAACTTCATAGTAAGAAAATGTATTTTCACCGCTTGCATTTGCATATGCTTCAATTATAATTTTAAAGGTGTGTTAGAGATTATAAGTTCAGAATTTTATTATGACAAAACATGAAGTTTTCACCAAAATTTCAAGTGGAAGTGTACCCTCTCCTGGCCTAGGTCTGCTCTGAATAGGAGAAAGTAGTTATCGGTTCGGGTTAATTACAATGATGTTGGTGAACGGATGCAAATTAATTGAATTCAGTTGGCTTCTTATGCATGAAGCTCGATTGGGAAGGGTTGGACATGTTGCTGTGTAGGACTATGCACTATTGGCTTTTGTTGTAGCGTTGGAAAGTGTTGGGGATATAGCTCGGATCCAGTCGCGCAAGCGAGACAGACCAGCGCGCTCGCGGAAAGAACCACTCGCGGCCTGGAGCTCCGCGAGTAAAGACGCGTTCGCAAGTATCAGAGGCGCTAACGGCGTCGTTTTGCTCTACCCAAGCCGGCGTTGTTTTGTAAACGCCAGACGGCGTCGTTTTGCTCTACCCAAGCCGGTGTCGTTTCACTCAATTCGAACTAAGAAAGGAAACCGGGAAGAACGACGTTGTATCCTCTGAAGGAACAGTCACTTCCTAGTCCTAGGTATAATTATGGCCTAAGGCATGGTCTAAACGTCTGACATGCAGTAGTCATATCACATTAAATGTCCACCCACCGCAATGTAGCCTATAAATAGAGCATTTACTCCAGTGGGTAAGGGGGATGGAACTTTTGACTCTCTCACTATAAAGGATCGACTTCTCTCTTTAAGATTTCACTCTCGCAATCACATTCTCTTGTAACCTTAATCCTCCAACTGAGTAGAAGATTCTTATTGCTTGCTCTTCTCACCCCATCTCCACTCGAGTCTCACTCCTACACTCAGTTAGGCTCAAACAATTGGCGCCCACCGTGGGGCCGATTAGAGAAGCAATAGAAAACCAACCAACAATGGTGGAGCATAATCCCAGCTCACCCGACGAAGCGACGCCCATCAAGGCGATGACGAACCCAAGGGTGTTCGCGCAAACCAGCAACCTGAGCGCAGTACTTATTGAAGGAGAAGAGCCGAGCTAACAGCCAAGGAGATGAGACAACAAATGGCGAAGCAAAACGAAGTCATAGCCGATATGCAAAAAAAGATGAACCAAGTCATAGCGCTCATGATTAGCAAAGAGGCCGCGCCAACGGCACATGTGGCGCTAACCGCACCACGACAAGCGGCAGGTGAAGCGTCAGAGCTTGTCCCACTACCACAACAAGAGCCGGTTGAGCCACCCGCACAGGAAGTGCAACAAGCAGAGCCGCGGGCCAGGGCGGACCTCAGCTTCTTGGAGCAACATCTATCCCCGCAATGCCGTCCTCACCCACCCAGAAGAACCCTCCATCATCCATTGAGCGCGGAAATCATGGCGGAACACCTAAGCGGAATGCCACCCACCCTACCAACATACAACGGGACAACCGACCCAGAGGACCATGTAAGCACCTTTTCCCTCCGAATGCAACTCCAAACCAACTCCAATGCGGCGCTCTACACAACCTTTCCATCGACATTCGCCGGCATATGCCTCGATTGGTACAACAGACTCCCAAATGGGATCATCCGCTCGTTTGAAGAGTTCATACTCTTGTTCACCACTAAGTTCGCGTCCCAAAAGAGAAGACCCCTCCACCTCAAGGCCTTGATTGATATCAGGCAAAAAGATGGGGAGAGCCTACGGGCATTCTACGCCATGTGGTCCAGGGTGGCAATGGTCGTACGAGACCTTACCCCCGAAACTGCAACCCATCATCTCATGGACGCCACCACCAACATGGAGCTCAAGCGAGCGTTATCAAAAAGACCAGTCACGCTGTCGACAGAGCTGAAGGTCAAAATCGAGACATCCAATACGCTCCAAGACCCGCAATAAAAGCGCAAATACAGGCAGATTTCATCGCTAAAGGAGTCACTCTCGATACGACACCAGAAGGAGTATGAGAGGTATACGTGGACGGCGCGACAAGCAAACATGGAGCCGGAGCGGGCGTCGGAGTGCGCACCCCGACAGACGTCGTTCACGAAATCACAATTCGATTCAGAACGTTGAAAACAAACAACGCAACCGAGTACGAGGCCATCTTGGTGGGAACGACGGCCCGCAATGACTTGGGCACGAGAATAATCAGGGTGCTATCTGATTCTTCACTGGCTGTCAACCAACTGAACGGGACCTTCGACGCAAAAGAGGACACACTTGCGCAGTACATTGAGCGTGTCAAACAACGGGCTAGTACCTTTGAAGCCGTGACATATGTGCAAATACCAAGGGAGGAAAATATGCACGCGGACGCACTATCCAAGCTAGCAACCGCCACCGACTTCGAATCGACGCGCTTAGTCTCGGTTCAAAAAGTGGAAGAGGAAAACCACCAAGACGTCACAGTCAACACCACACAAAAAGTGCAAGAGGAAGACTGGAGAGCCCCAATCATAAGGTACTTACAAGACGGCGTGGTGCCAGAAGACACCAAAGAGGCGTGGATCTTAAGACAGAAAGCGGCCCGCTGCAAGCTCATTGGTGGGGGAGCTGTACCGTCGGTCATACTCTAGCGTGTACTTAAAGTGCATCGGGCAAGAGGAGGCGCGCAACATAGTGCGCGACCTACACTATCTTGCTGCCCGGATACTATTGGCCGCGAGTGAAAAAGGACACAGAAAAATATACAGATCAATGTCACAAGTGTTACCATCGACCGAGCTTCAAGGCGATCTGAGCCCATGGCCCTTTGAGCAATGGGGAGTGGACCTCTTAGGCCCCTTTCCGACGGCAAAAGGAAAGCGCAAGTACTACAACCATTAAGCTGGATGCGACAAAGGAGCAGGTAGCAAAGTACTACAACGCGAAGCTGGTTCCACATAAGCTGATCCTCGGAGACCAAGTACTGCGACGGAACTTCCGTCACGACCCCAAACACGGAAAAATCGCCTCTACATGGGAGGGTCCATACTTAATCTGCGAGGTTGTCGGCGCCAACACTTTCAAGTTTGGCGAATGGGGCGGCACAAAAATTCCAAGGACGTGGAATGCGTAGAACCTCAGGAAATATTGTCGACCCACTTGATGTGTATCTTGTTCACAGTATCGCATTTGTGAAAATAAATAAATGCAAAGTTCGGCAAAATATGAATAGCGATAATCATGAATTATTCGCGCCACCGCGCCACGCTCGCAAGACTGATGCGAAAGTTCACTGAACACATAAAGCGCTAATGTCGAACCAAGGATCTTTTCTCGCCCAACCACATTTGCACATGTCGAACCATGGCGCGAGTATTCTAGCGGTTCCCCGGAATATCAGGTCGCACCTTCTTGCGGACCGCGATCACAACCTTGGTCATCGAGTCCGCCAAAATCTTGCCAAATGCAGTGGAAGATTTATACTGACGGACCGCAGTAACCTGCGCTGCGCGCACAGCCTCCGCCTTGGCCACATCGTGAAGATGGACCAGATCCTCATTTTCCTTCTGGAACTCCTCGCGGACCTGCCTCAGCTTCTCCGCGTGGTCGGTCTCCAACCGCTTCTTCTCCTGCGCCCGCTCATCCGCCAGGCGCCTCTTCTCCTCTTCGAACTCGCTCCGCAGCTCCTCCCGAATATTGGCCCGGTCCTCGGCCCTGACTCGCTCCTTCGCCGCCTCCACATCTTCCGTCAGCTTGCTCTACAAAACGTCAAGCTGCTCCATAATAATATTTCCGCCGCCTACCTGAAAAAGGGTAGAGGGCTAGAGGCCCATTGAACTTCTATTTTTTCCGCATGCTGAAATAGTTTGAGGCCCATCTTAATTAAACGGAAAAGACTAAATGGTCCTTCCGATCTCTACGTAGGAGCCAGAGAAAAGGGAATTAAGTGAGTTCTAATGTAGAACTTCCTTATATGTATTGTTAGATTCTATCTCCTTCATCTTAACTTGAATGAAAAAAAAAATTATATAGATTAAATGAGTTCATTGTGATCTATATAATAATATATTTTCGATATGTTTCGGATACAAATTTTTAAAACCAATTATACTACCGACTATCATCATCCTACTACTATAGTCTATTTCTAACACTGGCATATTCCTACCAACATTGTATATTTTGATACATAAAGATGTAATTTTTTTGTCACGTTCTACCATCGTGGTAAAAAATGCATCGATTAACTTTTTATATTCCAAATATATCAAAGTGTCATTTTGTAAAGTATAATTAATTTGATTTTTTTGGGAAAATGAAAGACAAATTAAAATAAGTGAGATATAGTGCAAGAATGAGTATCATATCCTAATCTAAATATAGTTGCAATGGCTAGTTTTTTTTTAACGTATGAGAGTTTTTATAAAAAGAGTTGTGTAATCTCCAATCTTTTATGATCGGGATATTGTTCGTTTTGGGACTATCTCGCACGATTTTACTTTTGGGTACATCATGATGATTTTCCGAAAGATTACACATCTTTACACTGATTCACAATATAATAAACATGTTGAACTTCATAGTTCTTAGAAGAACTCATTCATATCATTTCAAAATTTAGATTTATCACATGTTTTGACCTAGAATTTGCTTTAAGGTTAGTGGCATATTTAAGGTCCGCCGCCCTGATCTATTGCGTTGTTTATGTGTCTTCGTCCTATATTGATGCTATCTTTACCTATTTAGAGAGCTTCACATCTCCAGCAAGGTTAGTGGCATATATAATGATGCAACCTTTTGATTTTCCCTGTATTTACTGGCTTGGGACTTTTGACAGAATCACCACTGATCAGGAGAATAGGATAGGATGTGGTTGATTCACATGCTTCCAACAAAATTAGGTGATCAATGCAACTCGTATGCATTTCTGAAGGTGCATCTACCTGTGCCTTCACTAGTTTCAGTCTGTTGATATTGCACACACTTTCAACAATGGCGACCAAGAGCCAATTCCTCCCGCCGATCCTCCCAATCCCGCTATGTTTGTTCATCGCTTTCCTGCCGGAAGCTGCCCCGTCGTGGCCTCTCCCCTCAGAGATAGCCGCTGGAGGCGCCTGGGTTCTCCTCCACCAAAGCATTGGCATCTCCGTAATGCACATGCAGGTTCTCCGAAACAACAAGGTCATGATGTTCGACCGCACCGACTTCGGCACTTCCAACATCTCCCTCCCCGACGGCAAGTGCCGCTTCGACGTCACCCTCTCCCCCGTCGACTGCACGGCGCATTCGGTCCTCTATGACCTCGCTTCCAACACCATCCGCCCTCTCGTACTTCAAACCAACACCTGGTGCTCGTCCGGATCTCTCGACGCCGACGGCACCCTCATCCAAACCGGCGGCCATGACGAGGGCGAGCGAGTCGTTCGGTCGTTCGCACCCTGCGACGACAATTCCTGCGATTGGGTGGAGCTTTACGACACCAGTCTGATGAATCGGCGGTGGTACGCGACCAATCAGATCCTCCCCGACGGTAGGATCATTATCGTCGGCGGGAGGAGTGTCTTCACCTACGAGTTCTACCCCAAAAGCTCCTCCTCCTCCTCCCAATTTGACAACCAGACGCTCAATTTCCTGTGGGAGACCCGAGACCCGGACGAAGAGAACAATCTCTACCCGTTCCTCCACCTTTTGCCCGACGGAAATCTCTTCATCTTCGCCAACAATCGGTCCATCCTGTTCGATTACTCTGCCAATCAAGTGATCAAGGAGTACCCTGTAATGCCCGGCGGCGACCGGCGGAATTACCCCTGCACCGGGTCCTCTGTTCTGCTTCCGCTCCGATTAACAGAATGCAACGCAGTTGGGATCCCCTGCGCCACCCCTACGGCGGAGGTGATGATCTGCGGCGGCGCTCCACCGGGAGCGTTCGCCAAGGCCAACAACCAGAGCATTTATGTGGAAGCGTCGAGGACCTGCGGCAGGATGACGGTATCCGACCCGAATCCGCAATGGGTCATGGAGCAGATGCCGGGTCCCCGTCTCATGAGCGATATGATACTCTTGCCCACCGGAGATATCATCCTCATCAACGGCGCCGCGAGAGGCAGCGCCGGTTGGAACAATGCCCGTGACCCTGTTTACAACCCGTTCCTCTACCTTCCCGACGAAGAAGACCCGTCTCGGAGATTCATCATTCTCCCACCGTCGACGACGGCGAGACTGTATCACTCGACGGCGGCGCTGTCGCCAGACGGGAGGATTTTGGTGGGCGGGAGCAACCCGCACCCGACATACAACTTCACGGCGGGTCCTTACCTGACTGAGCTAAGCCTGGAAGCGTTTGATCCAGGGTATCTCAACCCGGACTATGCCCATCTGCGGCCGTCGATCTTGACCGTGGAATCCTCCATTGACGGGACAGTGAAGTATCAGGAGATGTTCTCTGTTTCGTTGATGCTGCCGTTTCCCGATCCTTATGAACCGGTGGCCGTGGTGCTGATTGCGCCGTCGTTCAGCACGCATTCGTTCGGAATGAACCAGAGGATGGTTGTGCTGGGAGTGGAACGACAGCCTAGATTTGGCCTTAAAATGAACGTCATCGGGCCGAAAGATGTAAATGTAGCTCCTCCTGGTTACTATATGTTGTTCATAGTCCACCATGGCATTCCTAGCCCTGCTGTCTGGGTTAAGGTCAGATGATGATTCTTCTTCGTTTCCACTCTGTAATTTTGACTAGTTGCTGTGAATTCTGGAAAGGGAACTCGACTTGAAAATCTTGAATGACGATTCAGAACAAGCTAAGAGTTCAAACGAAAAATAGAATGGGCAAATAGTTTCGGGAGATCAAACAAACCAAATCATCTGGACACCTAAGTAGTAAGTACCCACAAGCCACTCTACTTCACAAGATAATAATATCTAAGGTGGAAACCAGAAAGAAACAGGAGGAGATAATAAGCATACATGCCCTCATTGGAGTATTTGACTTCCATAGTCTGCATTGAACTTCTCGTACCGGTGGGCGTGAAGATGGGCAGATGGCCTTGTGTTCTTCAAAGCGGTATCTATATCTTCGCCCGATATTGGCCCAACTTGAGGCAGCTCTGGAACACAAAACCAACAACACACAGCTAAAAGCTTAAGTAGCAATGGGCCGATGGCATAACGCAACTCCTTGTTATTTGGAATAGCTACTGAGACTTCAACATAATGCCAAACAAACAAAAAAATGTGACTTACCATCCTCGGGCACGATTTCCTCCTTGTTTTCAAGGATAGCCATGACACGTCTTAGTGGCTGCATAGCAGCTTCCTTGCAAACCAAATGAATATCAGAACCTGAATAACCTTCTGTCCTATCGACCAAGACATCGTAGGGAAGGTCTGTCTCGTCACTTCCTGATGGTAGGAGTTCTTCAAACATGGCTCTTCTTGCTTCCGGCTCGGGAAGAGGCACAAGGATCTAAAGTTTTGGGGTCATGGGGAAACAATATTTGGAAATAAAATAACCTACCAACATGCTATTGTTTTGAAGGACTGAGAAGGAAAGATGGAAGGGAAAAGGACAGATTGCGGAAGTTTGGAAAAAGAAGGATACACGCTTTTCAAGCCGGCGTAACATGGCTGAATCTAATTCCCAGGGGAGATTGGTTGCTGCCAGAACAAATACGAGCTCATTTGTTCGCATCAATCCATCCATCTGCAATTAATTACGTAAGATTTTGAGAGAATTGACTTTTTGAGTATGTGGTTGTGTTTGGAAGATGTTACCGCTTCAACCGTTCAAAGACATCGAAAAAATCACATACTGGCTCCTCACCATATACGAACTACGAAAGTGAGTTGGAATGGAAAAAGAACACATCACCTGAACCAGCAGCTCGGTCTTCAAACGCCTGCTTGCTTCATGCTCACTCCGACCTTCACCACGTTGACTGATAATTGCATCAATCTCATCGATAAATATAGTTGATGGTGCATGGTGTCTAGCAAGCTCAAATAAGACCTTTACTAGCTTCTCAGAGTCCCCTGCAAAATTGAGTGCCCTTACAAATTAGAGACTACAAGTATTATTTGAACAGTCTCCAATTCTGGAGATAGAAATTCACAATATATTTCCAGGAAATCATTTACTAATCAGAAAGTTACAGTTTTCATTAGACACACTTCTTCTACAAGCAAACTAATGTGTTTTAACAGAATCAAGACCAACTAGATGTTCAGATATCGAAATGTCATAAAGTAGTGCCAGAATTACTAAATCCATAAGATAGATTTTAGCATCTCAACTGAATAACTCTTAACAACATGCCATTTTGTCTTCAATTAATGCATAAGATATCATTCAACCCATAGTTCATCAAGGATTGTGCCACTATAACCTAAAGATCTTCATATATCACGCCAAAATGATATTCACGTATGATAAAAACCAGACAACACCATCTAAGAAGATCCTCCGACTGCGTAGAACATACCACGCCACTTGCTAACAACAGAAGATGCAGAGATATTGAAAAATGTGGTTTTACATTCCGTAGCAACCGCCTTTGCTAGCATAGTCTGAAACATCAAATAGAAAGTTGTAAGATACATTTCCTCTAAGTATTTGATTGCAGGACCATTCGAATTGCAGTTAACAGCAGCCCAAACAAAAAGTTCTCAGAATACAGTATTCCAATATTTTAATCTGCTTCATGGGATGAACTTTCAAAGACATTCATGTTTCTGTTGATCAGGTATGATATGGGGCAGGGAAATTCAGGAGGCCAGACAATATCACAAACCTTCCCTGTCCCTGGAGGACCAAAAAGAAGGATGCCTTTCCATGGTGATAATAGACCTGTAAAATACCTGAAAAGTGAAAGTCAGCCTAAAAATATGAACAATGAACTTGATAGACAACTAGAAAAATTCCATTTCCTTAATTGCTTATCCGATATTACTCACAGAGTGGAAAGATTCTGATGGATAAAAGAAGACACTATGATTCAAACGAAAACATTCCATGCTACTGAGGAAAACTTCATTACTCTCATTCAAATGAAATCAGCTGGACAACAAAGCGTGTGATTTAGAAAGACAATTCACATGGAGAAAGTATAGACACAAATATGATGGCCAGAGTTCATTTGCATAACATAAACTAAACAAATAAAATCCCCTTACTTCCTACATGTTACCAATGCTGCTAATGGTGGTTTAGAAAAAAACATACCACAAATTAGCAGGTCAGATCATCAACAATGGCAACAAGATTTTCTATTAGAAAGGAGACTGACCCTTAGCAATTCATATACTTATAATGTCACAATAGAAGCACGTACTTTGGATACTTTATCGGCATGACAACTGCTTCTTTCAGTAAGCGCTTTGCATTCTCTAACCCCTTGATATTCTCCCACTTAACATCTGGGCTCCCACGAATAATATCCCTGAATATGTGAAGTTGTCAGGTAAGCAAATTTAATGAAGTCAACAGCATTCATGATCAAACTCAGACTCAAAAGCAACAAAAACAGAAACAAAACGAAGCATGAAAAAGCAGCACATTTTATAAGGTGGTCTCAAGTATTACCTGCACAAACCTTCAGCTAAAGATCGTGTTTCAGCAGAATCGAAAGTAGGGAGCAAGGACTTCTGCCTGAACGTAGAAAGAATGCCAAAGATCAAAAGATTGTTCAGCAGAAATGGAATTCTCATTCCACCACACAATTTCACGTTGTTGCAGTCGTCAGAAGTTACAGCATGTTCAACGCAAGTGTTAGCTAAGTCTTAAATGGTGGCCGAAGACATTCAATTCCACCCCCTAGTATGGAACCTAGATGCCAATATTTTGCTACTAAAAAAAGTCGCACCAGTTTAAATTTTGAACCAGGATATATCTCTCGAGTACAAAAGTCCCTTATATCTACCACCCAAACAATAGACATTAAGGCTTTAAGAAGGTCCAAATTTTTAATACCAAACACCAATATCTCTGCTAAAGGATACCCAGAAAACTAAAGTGATCAGCATTTCGGATAAGAAAATACATACGGCACTTCACCGACTCCATTGGATAAAGTTCCATTGGGAAGGCCTGAGCTCCCATTCTGCAAAGAGAAAGGAGAAAAACAAATGAAAAATAAAAACAAAAAACGATTGTCCTGCATTTGCCATAACGCAAGGAGAAACAACTCATTCAGTCCACTGCAGTACCTGCTGGTTTCTGAACTGCTCATAAATGGCCATGTCAGATGAGTTCTTCATATGGCCGTTACCGTTAGCTGCAATGCCAGAAGAATTCCCATTGGGGACTGCTCTATCGGCGTTGGTTGAGCTGCCATTTTCGGAGTCTGGTGCTTTCTTTCTTCCGAACTTGGCATCATATTTGATTTTGAAATCCTAAAAACAGCGTTAGTCACTTACAGAAACGCACCATCTTCACCAAAATTTCACACAAAAATAAAACTTCAAACCACACAGCATCTGCCTCGGCACAAATCCGAATCACATCAGTAAGCCTAGGACTAACAACACTTCAATACAATCCCTTCCACCACACCACACCAACGATCAAATTTTCATTCGCAAAATGACAATCCATAATCGAAACGCCGATTCAACGGTCAAGAGAACTCAACTTCATTCTGAGATGCAATGCAATCAAAACCATAGACGGCATGGCATCAATTAATCTAAATTCGTTGGCAGCAATCCAACGGAACGGAGCGATACAAGGACAAAGGAAGCTCGGTGAAGCCGACCTTTCCGGTCAGGCAAATGGAAAGTCGGCGAGAGAAACAGAAGGGGTACCTGAAAGCTCCAGCGAGTGACGGAAGGTTCATCGGCCATTGATGATGGAAAATCTGAGAGCGAAAGGATGGAAAAGAAGGGAGATCTCCCTCTCCCTCCACTCTCTTTCGGACTCTCTCTCTCTCTCAGTCACTCGGCTTGCTCAATTTCGATTTGGGATCACTGCATGTGCTCTGCTGGGTCTTTGACTGTTTGCTGTCCTTCTCAGTTGGAACTTGGATGCGCTCGCCTGGCCTGGGAAACTATGTGGTCATAATTTATTTATTAATAATAATATATCTTAGAAATAGGCGAATATTTACAAAATGATGTTTACTTGTGATTTTCAAGACTCCACGACAAAATTGTAATTTGGAACGCAGCGTGCAGCAATTAGCAACTACGCCAACTACCCTTGCCTTGCCCATGTTGGTCGTTGGTCCCATGACTTGCTCGCAGAGAGTCCAATTTTAAATTACCAAAATGTTGTAAAAATAAAACAAAATATTAAAAAAATTCAAGTATTCTTTAAACTTATTGTGCTAGACAAGTAAGATTCACGCGGCCGCAAATACCGAGCAAAATTTGTCACAGACAGTTTCGATCACTATGTCTATGTGTGTAGTCACAGATGGTGAGCCGAACTTTCCAAGTTTCGCTCGGCATGAGAAGAGAAGCCACACCCAGACGCGTGAAGATGAATATGGTTGAAGAAGACAGATTGGGGAGAAAGACGTGGGCGCCATACTGAATGAAGATTTTGACCCAATACCCTATACTCAGTCATGGCTAATTCTATCCAAACCTATCTAACTCCATATTTTATTTGTAAGTTTTAGGTGGAGTTTATATACGAATTTGGATATTTGTTGAGTAAGGTTATATATATTGCTTTCATATTTCATTTGGGTATGAGTTGGGTATTGATTTACCCATTTACTTGATGTTTAAATTAATGTAAAAAATTAGGCATATATGTAAAAAAAAATTAAAACTTAGATATCAAAATGCAAGATAATAAATACTTAGGTACTAAAATGTATTTTTTGGTGATATTTTTAGCACTTCATGTAAATTTAGTTACTAAAATTAGAAATATATTAAATTTAGGTGTCAAAGTATAATTTGGATATGAGTATGAGTAAAAGTCAAATCCATGGATTGAAAACTCTTCCGGTTTTCCATCCGGTCCCGGTCCAAATTGCCAGCCCTAGAACGAGTGTTCAATAACACTCCCCCATGGCCTCCATCTGCGATCTCGAAAGCGTCCTTGGCACATCGCCAATGGACCTCCTGCCCCAGGAAACATCCCAATGCTCCACCTTCAGCTCAGCTTAACCCACTACCGGATCACTCTTCATCACCGCCAAGTACTCATGATTTTGAGATACACTGCGATGGATCGTTCTTCAACGATTCCCCGTCACTTCATCAGTCCGTTCTTCAATATCGACTCACTCAAAAATTGCTATGGACGGAGTTTTTGTGCATTGCCTGATGAAGCTTATTGGCCGGTGTACGAAGGAAAGTTGATCATCCCGCCGTTCGGACAAAGGCGTGAACCGGGTCGGCCGAGGAAAAAGTGAATTCATAACGAAATGGATCAAAGTGGAAGACCACCACGAGGCCCAAGACGATGTTCAGTATGCAGAGTTCCAGGCCATGATAAACGAAGTTGTCCAGGTCCAATTGGTCCGCAAAATTTGGATCCTGATGTGGGGGACTCAGCTAATGCGACATAGTTTGGCGTTTTTCATTTGTTGGTACTTGTTATGTATGTTTTCACTTATTGTCGGAGTTAGAGCTATGATGCTTGGAACTTTTGTGTTTGGAAAATAACCCTCAATTAACACTCAAGCCTTAAGTTAACACAAAAATAATAGAGAAAGCCAAGTACATAGTACTAAAATAAAAGCTAAAACAACACTCAATTAAATAAACTAAAATAGGAGGAAGGGTTTCAAGTACATATAATTAAAACATAACTAAAAACAACACTTAAAATGATAAAACTAAAAATACATCTCAAGGAAGTCCCTGGGACTCATGGGGCTGCAAGGTTTTCTTGCTCCTTGTACGACGGCCGACGGGAGTAACCATCGGTGGTTGCGGTGGCAAGCTTCGATGGGCCATGTTAGGGCGCTCGTCGGTGCTGTGTCGGCGTCGATCCGTAGTAGGCGGCGCTTCCGGGGTCGAGCGGGGGACATCCACGCTCATACGGTGAGGGGTAGGAGGCCACGACTGATGAGGGCGAGGAATAGGATTGAAGTCATGATGCGCAGTCGTGGAGGAACCATCATGCCAAGTACCCGAGGATGTGGGGGGTTCGTTGAAGAAGTTTGGGCGGGGATCTTGGGGGTAGATCAGCCGAGGATCATAGTATGGTGGGCGAGGATAATAGTACGGTGGGCAGGGATCGTGGTATGAGATCGGGCGGGGATCATATGGGGATTGATGGTAGCTCGGAGGGGATTGATGGTAGGTCGGGCAGGGATCGTAGTATGAGCTCGGGTGGGAATCATGATGGTAGGTCGGGTGGGGATCATGATGGGGATCTTGGGAGTGGCTCGGGCGGGGATCTTGATGTAAGCTTGGACCGCCACCGTCTGCCACAACCAAGGGGGTCGACACTCTCCACGCCTCCAACGGTCTTATCTCAGGCACATGAGGTCTTTCCCGAACCTTCTTGTTTTTCTTTCTCTCGTATGGTGGTGGAGGGTGGGGGACATCAACTTGTACCGGAGGTGGCACCCGTGCGGGCATGGGCGGGCATCTACGATAATCACGACCCTGTGCTCTGATACAGCCAAACATACTTTTTGTCATCCTCCTGATGAAGCTCACATCTTCACTGCCCATTTCATGTTTCCCATGGGTCAAATCTTTGATCCGCTCAATCCCATCAGCGTAAATCACATAAAAAAGGTTAGCAAGATAAGACTAATGATGTGTCAGAATGAAACAAGCAATAAACTCAAGCCTTATTAGGAGGAATATACTTACCAATGCACCATCGGCCGCACACTCTGGAGTCACGTACCGAACCGATGTTTGCCGATATCTATCCTTGTATGGGTCATGATACCCCATTCGCGACCCACATTTGTTGGAGTGACAATGTCCTGAAGTTGTCGGTTCTCCCATATCGCGATCATTTCCGCCAACTTCGTGGGCCAATCGTGAGTACCTTGCCGACCATCTCGGTGGTGAAACACCCTTTGACTCTCGGAGACCTCCAACGGAATGCACTGCTCCCGACCAAACTGATAAAGGCATCGATCCGGCAGGTGCCACTCCACCGTCCCTAAACAAATGAGAGGGACCCTCGTGCACCACTGCCCGATATTCTCGGGGAATTGATGTAAATGCCAATGAACGATGTTCGCCGGGTATGGATCGAATTTGATCTACAAAAAAAAATTAGTAACTTAAGTTAAAAAAATTGAAAAAATACATTTACTCCATGAAAACAAGTTATAGCACTTAGAAGTATTCTAGTTACCGCTCCTTCCCAAAGTCGCTCTAGCCTCCTCCGATACTCTACCAACTTGTGTTGGGCAAGGTTGTCGCATGATGAGGATCCAATCCACCTTATTAATAAGACAATAATAAAAATACAATAAGATAAAACATAAGGAAAATTGTGTTATGAAAATCATTATGGGGTATGAGAAATTTACCTATAACCATAAGCTTCGAGTCTTAGAGGATGATCAGAACCCCGATTCCTGTCCGGACATTGGAGCGGTGAAATCCATGGCAGATGCTCCCAAGCCCAAAATTGGACGATGAACATTGCGCCGCTGACCTCCCTCACAGCTTTGAGAGATGCATTGCACAAATGATGGTAGATATTAGCTAGACAAGCGGATGCCCAGCTCAACTCCCCCATCTCATCCCAACTACCAAGGAGGATCCTAAGCCATCCACAGCTAATTACATTGATCGATTTTTTTGGAGAAGAACACTCCTCCTATCATGCCTATGAGATAGACACGAGCATATCTTTCCTTCTCGAGCTCCGGACTCTCCTCGGTTAGGGGCATCCAATCTTTGGCAGGATCGTGATGGTCCCTAAAATACTTCGTCAACCAAGTGATCGATACTTGGTGCTTCCTCAATGGTGGCAAGCGATCCGTCGCATCAACGCTCCCCTTGATTGGTACTTTCGCCCACAAAACACTGTGGATGAAATGCTGCCAACCGGTGATACCGTCACGATCCTCGGGGGATGATCACTCACACACACCGCTTTTCCGTCGATGGGCAGATGAGTTAGGATGGCGACATCCTTTAGCGTGATGGTGCACTCTCCTTCGCGAAATTTGAAACAATGTGTCTCCTTTCTCCATCTCTCCACCAATGCGGTGATGAGTTGGCGATCGACTTTTATGCCTTCAAAATGCCTAATCGACTCCAACCGTGCCATTTTGAGAAAGGGCAAGATAACTGGGTTCCATGTGAGCACATTGGTCGTACCCCTGTAGCGGAGTATTTGTTATGCCTCCTAGCAAAAATTTCAATGTTATTTATGATATATTAGTAACAGTTTAGTCTTATAACTAAATTAATTAAAATTAATGATTTAATTTCGACCATAATTCTATTAAAATTATATTATTAACAATCAAATTTAAGTAATTGATGGTTTTTTCCAAGATATATACATATTATCATAAAACAAACATACTCAATTAATTGACATAAATAATATTATAAATGAATAATAATTTAAAGAGATACATACATATTCAAACATTTGAAATTAATAAAATTCATTTAAGTATACATAAACATAAATCGTATTGGTTGTTTGGTAAATAATTTAATCGTATTAGTTGTTTTAAATAATTTAATCGAATACAATGCAACACTCATTAGATTCTTAGAAGAGGTATACATCTTCTTAGAAACGCAGCCTTTTTGACAGAAAATGGGGGATCCGAGGATCTCTTAATACCCGATTTTCCCAGGAAATGGGAGGATCATGATAATCGCTTAAAACCCCATTTCCTTAGACGTGCATCTCTTTATAAAGAGTCGAAGTAAGTGGCGCTATGTATTCGATTAAATTATTGAAAACAACCAATACGATTAAATTATTTCAAATTTATTTTATATTCCACTAAGTACATTAGCAAAATAAAAGAACGACAAATGATTAAGAATTGTATGTACCCGGTGATCGTTCCAAACATCCCTTAAACGATGGTTGGGTTGGTCGTACAAGTCAGTTGGATCAATAGGTCCTTGATCCAAATAATAGCGTTGGTTGTATATATCCACGTCGTCCCCAACCTACGAGAGAATAACAATAAGGTTAGTACATAGATTAATTAAAAAGCTTATAACAAAAACAAAAATTGACCAGAATAATGAGTACGTACCGCTTGAAATTCATCATAATAAACTCCCTCTCCTTGGAACCACTCGTCCTTTTTTTGCGAAAGACGGACAGAAATTCGGCGGGTTTTGAGAGAAAAACCGAAGAAATGTTTTCTGATGGCAGATCGGACTTAGCCGCAACCAACAGACCACTATTTCCTAGACTTTTGGGAGGGAAGGGGTTAGAGAGATAATTTTAGAGAGAGAGTGAAGAATGGGTTGTGGTGTGAAGAAATGAGAGGGGGGGAGGGGGTATTTATACTACTAAGACCGCACCCTCCAGGGGCGGTCTGGTAATTTTGCCCTGCCAGAAACCGCACCCTCCCGATGCGTTCTGCGATGATCGAGGCGCTGACCGCACCTGTCAGCTGCGATCTTCGATCCATGCCGCGGATCGCTGAGGTGGCAAGCGGTCTCCAAGCCCGCTCCCAAGGAAACACAGGCGCACCTCCAAGATGCGGTTCGCTGGCTGACGTGGCATGGAACGCACCCTCCTGGTGCGGTTTACTTATAAAACGCACGTTGGAGGTGCGGTTTACAAATAATGGTGCTATTTTTGTAATTTCTTTGGACTGGGTGCTATTTTTGTAATTTTTTAATAGGTGCTATTATTGGAAAAATCCCCTATATATAAGGGTTGAAAATGTCTAACATAAGAATCTTGCTTTAAATATCTTAACACCGTATACGTCACTTGAAAGTGTGTGGTAGGGATGGCAATGGGTTGGGTTCTGCCAAATTCAAACCCAACCCAACGGGGATATATATCCAAAAAAAAAAATCTCAAGAAAAATCATCGGGTTCTTGATCCTCAAACCCAATCCAACCTATTGGATATATGCAGGTTCATGGATATTCATGGGTTTTGATGGACAAATATACAAAATCATATGTCTGTCAAAATAAAAACGTAACACCAATCTGCCAACACAATTTTTCAATACAATAAACAACAATCTAATACATACAAGCAAACTTACAAATTATCTAAACTAATTGCTCCATACTAAAGATAAACATCCACAAACAACACGATTAATTGAACGCTTCGTCCTCGTCGAGAACTTGAAAATTGTCATCTTAACATCACTTTCCCCTCCGTAATATTAACTTCATTCTAGATAATTAGTAAGAACAACAAATTAGACATGTCTCCACAAACATAAGGAAGATAGTGGGCTTACGGGTATGGGCCGGTATTCATGACTCGGGTAAACTTAAACTCGAACTCAACCCAACCCACTGAACAATGCCATGGATTTCAACCGGAATTCAGCCTGCAAATGCGAGTTTTACACGCTTTAACCGGGTTGGATCAGATAAGATACCCTTGATAGGGTTTAGTTGTTGTAGAAGGATTTTACAGATATCGACTCTCTCAGTCGCTGCACTGGGAAGGCTAGGGGTGATAATCGATTCAGTTCGGTTATAATCGAAACCATTTAGTCGGTTCTTGGTTAACCGTTAAGCACTTTGTGCTTACTGTTAACCGTATTGTTTAATTTAGTCGGTTAACCGCAACCGTTTAGTCTGTTCTCGCTTATTTTTTCGGTTAACTGGATAACCGTTGACCAAGTGATCCACCAAGGTTATATCAAAATAACTGGTTGATAACCTAACCAACAAAAAAACCTCTTTTTTCAATTGTGAAATTTTCTATAATTTTTCATACATATGCATGTGTTCTTTTCTTTAGTTGTTATCATTGAATAAAATATAATTTAACATATACACATATATATATGGTGGCGTCTTCGGTGCACTCACTTTTTTTAGTGCATTCAGTGCACTCGCTTCATAACTGTCATTTTAAACATACGATTTATGTCAAAATGATATCAATCATCACTTATGATGTGATTAACAATAACACACATGAATTTGCACAAAAATCATTGAAGATTTACTTTAATTTGAAGGATTTAGAGTTTAGAGATTTAGGATTAGGATTAGAGTTTACAATTTGGGGTTTAGGGATAGAACTCAAAATTGGAGGTCTAGAGCATAGGCCAATCCGCTAATTAGTTGTTATCATATGTTATATCATCATATTACACTTATTCTATAAATTAAAATTCAAAATCCGACACCTTAAGACTGGTTTTTGAGTTGGGTGCATTAAACGCACTCATTTTTGTATATATATATATATATATATATAATATGTGTATATATGTGTGTATTCGCGCGTGTGTGTGTCAAAGGCTAGCGTACGCCCCGGCGTACCTTAGCCTACTGTACGCCCATTGAGTTTTGCTATTTAGACAATGAATTAACCAAAGTTTGGGACATGATATTATATCCTAACCCCTAATGGGTGAACCCCAGTCCCCAATTCACTAACCCAAAGCATAATATTCATTTTATCTTGAAATAAAAATCAACGGTTTTGATTCGTCAAAATTATTGTTGATTTACTTTTTAAGATTAAATTTTGGGTTAGAATCAACAGAAAATTTGTGTGTGGGTGGGTGTTGGGGGGGGGGGAGAAGGTAAATCTAAATTCCATTCAATTGCATGGGATCAGCTTACGCTCCCTTACAGTTAAGGAGGTGTGGGGATTAGACCTACGAGACTTGCAAACCTAGCTATGCTTGCCAAAGGGGCATGGAAGCTTGCGACGGGGGATCAAGCTCTTTGAGCCAGACTCGTGAGAAACAAATACGGAAGGAGCAAGGAAGGGTTAATGATGCTTTCGAATTATAAGGGAAGTTCCTTTGCCTGGCACAGCTTCTCTAAAACTGCTAACATCCTGTGCAATGGCGCCGCCTATAATGTGAAGGATGGAAAAAAAAACTAAATTCTGGACTGATTCTTGGGTTTCGCAGGATCCACTTATCAAAATTACTACTACCATGATTCCGTCAGACCTTAGAGACAAAGTTGTGGATGATTATTGGGACTCGAATACAGGTTGGAGGGTGCAAGACTTTGAACGCTATCTCCCGATTGAGACCGTCAGCCGTATTCGTGCCGTCATGCTAGACCCAGACTCAACCACGGAACACACTCTGTTTTGGAAGATCTCATCCAACGGCGGTTCATCACAAGTTCGACCTTCAAAGCAATTTCTCCAAGGCAGGCTACAGAGACTCCGGCTTTCTGGATGAGAATTTGGCAGCTTCACTGCCCGGAAAGAGTCAGACTCTTCATCTGGATGGCAGCCAAAGGCAAACTTTCAACGAATAGTGTGCGCAAGTTCAGACATCTCGCCATGGATGATAAGTGTCCTCTTTGCAATGAAGAAATAGAGACGAATATCCATTGCCATAGAGATTGCTTAACAATCCAAAAGATATGGAAGAAGGTGTTACCTGCTCAAGAACAGTCTCAGTTCTTCTCGGCTGACCATGAACGATGGTTTTGAAGGAATCTTGAGGGCAACAGTCAAGAGGAGAACATGGAAGATTGGTCTAGCCTTTTCTCTCTTATGTCTTGGTATATCTGGAAATATAGGAACAATTTCATTTTCAAGGGGAAGAAACTTGCAGAATCATCTCTAATCAACTATGTTTCTTCAAAGGCCAAGGAATGGCTCAAAACTTCGGATTCAGTTTGCAACAGATTGATGACCAAGGAGTTACGGCAGAGGGAAGAGTATCTTATAGGCTGGTCACCACCCCCTGTAGGATGGATTAAATTGAATACAGATGGGGCGGCTCAGGGAACTTCAGGAATAGCCTCAGCAGGAGGAGTTTTGCGCGACGGTAACGGGGATTGGAAAGGTGGTTTCTTCTGCAAGGTGGGAAATGAATACGCCATCTTAGCAAAGTTTTGGGGCATCTTTCAGGGGCTTTCTTTTATGTGGAGTCAAGGTGTACAACAACTCATTCTTGAAACTGACTCCAAGTTAGCTGTCGATCTCATAAAGAATCGTGAAGACCCGGTTCACCCACACTCGACTATCTTGGCAGCTATTCGACGTCCGATGACTCATGTAACATCCCGTTCCGGAAAAACCCATATTTCGATCGTAGAAATTTCACGATTTAAAATCGAGTGTTTTGATAATATTTCAACGAAAATCGGATTATCGATCGATCG